TCCTTTCTCCTTAATGTGTCCCAGGAATCCAAATCACCCAGTTAAGAATTTTCTTTTGCAACACCCTTTCAGCAAATTCAAAATCCTCTCTCAGAAAAATACCTAAATGAAAGGTCCCCACTCTTCCCTCATCTCATCCTCTTCACCAGAAGGGCTTAGCCAGTCTGCCCTCCCCAACACCATCTCCTCACTGTGCACCCTTTGCTTCATCCAGGATTGTGAGCTACCCACCACTCTCCTATCTGACAAGAAAGTTATCTCACGCTTTCTGCCTTGCCAGCAGCCAAACTGGAAAGTTCTTCTAATTTTTCACTTTCTTCCAGTTCAAAAAGGTTCTCTGTAATTCATCTTGCTTCCAGACACCGATTCCAGTTATGCCGTTCTCTGAACTAAATGATTACCTGGCTGTTAGCCCAGCGGAAATGTCTGGATGGATACCAAATTACTTTTCAGAAGCCAAACACATTGCTCACTATAAGCTATAGCCTCTCTTTAATACTGTCTGTAGTAAAGATTCCTTTCAAGCCTTTCCTCTGCCCTCCCTGCCTATATTCAGTATCAGTTCTTCTTATCACAGCATGACCATGTAGTCACTGTCTTGCTGGGTTTTAAAAGTATTAGAAATAGTAACATTTTGTTTAAATGGTCAATGTGTTGTCAAACTATTGATAGTCTTTTCTAAGTCTGTCCTCTTTCATGTTTCCTGTTGCCTTGTTCTTCGTGCCATCTGTAAAAGCTTTTGGTAATGATCAGTCCTCACAGTTGTGATGGAAATTATGTCACATTTGAACTAATGCTGCAGAACTGATCAAAATTACCTCCATTCAGTGAGGTAAGGCTAAATGCTCTTTGAAATCCATGATGAATTGCTATCAATCCATTTGATGCCTCTCTGCTGGTAGTAGCAAGCTGTCAGATTTTTGATTAGCAAAGGAAAGGCTAAAAATCCCAAACTTCACAAAGTATAGTACAGTTCACCCTTTGCCTTTAACAGCCAAACCCTTGATTTCATAAAAGAAGGAAATCATGCAAACTGCCAGCAATAAGGAACAGGTAATTCAGTTAGGTTGACTCTTCTGGAGCTTAAATTTTCATTTCAGAACAATATTCTTTCCAAATATAATTTAATAAAATTAGGACAACAATTTAAAACAATTTAACAAGTGATCTTCTGATGGTATCAAAATCTATTATTAATTTAAACTAATGTATTGGATCAATTTCATTGATGTGTACTTTTAAAAAATATTTTCATTCTTATTTAGAATGAAAGATGAAGAAATTTTAAAAACAATCTGAAAAGGAGTCAATTTTATATGACATTTCTCAATACACTTTTCCTGTTATGTAAGATGCTGTTCAGTTCAATGAATATAAGAACAAAAATGTATTAGTGGTAAAATGTTTTCTTCCACATTAGACTAAGTGAAGGATTATAAGGTTTCTCTTTTCCCTTAGGAATCAATCTACATATCTGTAACACAACCTCTTCTTAAAAATTCTTGAATGTAGAAAACTATTCAGTTCACTGGAAGCATGAAAGATAATTTTAAAATAAATAGAGGATTGGCTCTTTGAGATCCTGTTGATATCAGTTGGTCTCAGTAAATTACTTCAGAAACAATGAAGTTAAGATAAATACATAGAAAAAGTGCATTTGGAGAGGGTAAGAGAGAGCATCTCCCAGAGTTTTATCAGAGTATGTTTCTGGTTTTGATAAGTGCAAGTTCATAGTTAAAGCTGCAACTTCAGTTGGGAGATTCTGTTCTGTGAAACTGTCACAAGAATCTACCATTTTGCGTACAGTCAGCACTAAATTTTAAAGAAAAAAAGTCACGAGAGAAGAGGAAAGGAGAAAAAAGCCTTTCTGTTCCAAGGACAAATAGAATTTTTCATCCCCTTCAGCCAAATATTTTACCTCCAGGAATATCTTCTGAGACCTCAGAAGAAAAGCTAATCTCAAAAGAAAAGGTTTGGGGTTGGGGTAGATTCTGGTAATGCCAAGACCCACCCAGCTGTAGGACTTTCCTCAGGTGAGGTCAGATAACTTGACTTTGGCTTTTCAATCTAACTGTTGCTGTGTCTTTAAAGACTGTGAATGTCCAGTATCTCCGCTTTACATGTGAGGAAACCATGAAGTGACCTCATCAGCACAGGAAAAAGTGTAGAAGCCTGATAGTAAAACCAAGAGAAGAATCAAAGTCTCCTGATAACTGGCTTAAGAGGTCAGGCTGTCAAAACTGTGCTAAAGGACCATTCCCAACCAGATTTCAACACAAACCTCTCCTTGCAGGACCTGTATCAAACTGAACTACTTTTCTGTCAGGAGTTTTTGCATGTGATTGAAGTGGCGTTCTCCTGTTATTTTTTTCCTCTGAGTAAACTCCGAGTTTTCCCTCTCAGCAGAAAAACACCCCTCCAGGCCTGTAAGAGATTTCATTCACGCAGCACAAGTTGCTGAGATGCTGACTCACTGGTGCCCATGAGCTTCTTTAGCAGCCCTTATGCAGAAGTAGCAAATCCAGTCCTGTAGTGGTCTCAAAGCAAGGAATTGGCCAAGGCCTGCCTATGCCACAGGCTATGGCTGAATTTGAGCCTGATTCTGGGGCATGTCAAGATTCTGGAGTCTCCTAAATCTACCACAGCACTGACGCTTCAACACTTTGACTGAAAGTCTTAGAACACCAGGGGTCTTTTTTTAATCACCCAAAAAGTGACCCAGTGTCAGATGTGGAGTGTCAGGCAGTTGAGCTATATTATTATTGTAGTAATTCCAATTGAACTATTCTAAAAATATTAGACAATATTTGTTTTATTGCATTTATTATATTTCATTTAATGAAGGGAGAAGAGTCATGCTTGTTTGCCTGCCTGACTGCCTAGAGGGACAGGAGGAGGAGAGCAGATCTGGAGTTCAGAGCTGAGAAATGACTGCTTCAGACAAAACCTGTACTCAGCTGGAAGGTAAAAAAAGATATATATATATATATATATATATATATATACAGATGTATATCCCCATTCCACTTTAGAGTTGTGGCAGCTGGAGGGGGAGGTGTTGTGGGATAGGTGGGGGACTGGATCTGCCTCTCCCTTACCATCTTCTCTCACAGACTTCCCACAGACCTTGTCTTTCCTCACAAAAGTACATCACTGTAATGCATTGTTCATGGGTCATTATAACCCATCCTGAGACATGCAAAGAGTATATGTGAGGAAAAAATGGAGGGAGATGAGAGGTTTGGACAAAAATGAAGAAAATAAACCTTTTGCATGAACATTTGAAATATTTCAAGGTTATGAGAAATGTTTAAAACTGTTGGCTTGTATATGCCTGCACTTCAGCTAATGATTCTATCAGTGTTTAAGGCATTTGCCACACAAAAAACCTAGGAGAGAATGATAACAAAAAGAAAATAAAAAATTTTAAAAAACCCAATGGGTGTTTGGTAATATTTATTTTTTACCATGGAACCAAGAGATGGGCCAAGAGAAAATTCAAGGAAAGGCTAATGCAGGAACTAGAAGGAAAGTGAGCAATAGCTATATAGAGACTCACAAAAATAGTCTTAGGAGGGTAGCAGAAGGAGAGAAAAAAGCAAATATATACGCACCAGTGCATATATATGCCAACTTCTAGGTCTAAGTTTGGATTTCCTTCTGCTGCCCAGGCCAGTTAATCAGCTATCTTTGTTACTGACTGATGATGCCTTAGAAAATCTCTGCCTTTGCAACTGTGTGACTGTCAAGTATGGAATCTCTTTTCTTAAAGGAGAAATACAAAAGCAAATTAAATCTCTACTCTGAAAGAAGGACAAAAGGGCATGCAGGGGTATAAAAATCACAATATCACAAACTAGAGCCAACCACATTTTTAAACTGGTGACAGAAAGTTCTTTATTGCATTGACTAGTAAATGAAATTTTATTCTCATTATTCAAGAGTATTCACCTGATCATAACTCGTCTTTTGGAAGTACCTTATCAACAACTTCAGAGGTTCTCATAACTTCCGCTTACATCAAGTCTGACAGTTACTTCATCATTCTGCAATTGCTTGACCCTTATCATGCATGCTTTACAAAAGAGAATCCCTTCCAACACCTCCATTTTTCCATGTACAAGCTGATTTCATTGGAGAAATGAACATTCCACAGTTCTGGGATTCTTTTTCCCAGAAACTTTATCAGAATTCAAACAGGCTGTGCAAAGAGTCCAAAAAGTTGCATGATTATCACGCTGCTGAGCAGCACTGTCCAAGCATGTCTATAGATTGCAAATGAAAAGGATAAAAAGGGAGAGGAAGAACAGTGCAGGCTAAAATATAAACCAAAACACAAGAGTGAATGCAAGCATAAGTGCATAAGTGCATTTCACTAAGTGGTTTAGTTTGAAACCTTCACTAACACACACAGAGCTTTCTCCTCTTTCCTGAAAAGCAACGGAAAAGATATTTCAGCACCTTCTCTGCTTTCTTCTAACAACTGGGGTTAAACTCTGCTGAGCAGAGAAAAAACATCCCTTGCTTTATACTAAGCCATTCCTCCTATCTTCATCATTTCCTGGCTTTCCCTCCTTGTTAAACAAAACATTAGGTGCCAAGGCAGCGATGTATCAGTGTCCACATGACACATAAGCTGTCCCTCAGGGTCTCCTCACAGTGGAAATAAAAGCTGCCTTGTAGAAGTTTCCTTCCTTCACTCCAGCCTTTTTCCCTCGGATGCCAGCAGCGTCTCATCCCTAGAGGGCAGCCAACGAACACGGCTCCAGGCAGAAAGCGCTTTCCCTCAGGCTGCAGGATTTATCACATTTAGCAGCTTGTCCCTTCTGTGTCTAACACAAGTCCAGGCAAACCACTGTGACTGACAAGATTTGGGTCATTTCAGTTGCTTTTTTCCAGTTCCTCATGGTGGAGCTTCCATAATCCACCCAATCCCCCACCCTGCCAAATTTGGGGACAATCTTTTGCGCCTCTTCCAACCAGTCCCCAAAACCTCTTACCTTACGATGACAAACATGACCAGGGAGTTTCCCACCAAGCCCACGACGAAGACCACCGAGTAGACAGCAGTGATGATGATGGGAATGGCAGGGGAGATGCTGGTGTTGTTGTGCTGGCCGTCCCCAAATGCCCCAGTGGCATTGCTGTCATAGTCTGGCCAGCCCGAGAGCCAGCTGCTGCTGGTGCTGGCGGGTCGGCAGGGCCCTGGGGAGCAGGTGGAGTCAGGCTCCTCACGGAAAATCTGTATGGGGGCATCCATAGGGGTACAGTCCCCACAGGCAGGAGGGAAACCAGGAGGAGAGTGCACCCAGCAGGAGGCAAGTAAGCTGGAAAGAGGGAAGAGAGAGAAAGAAACAGAAGTATTTTCACTGCCACAGAACATTAAGACCTCTGAAACTTGTATGTGTTAAGGGGAGCTCTGCTGTGATGGGAACAGTAATTTGCCAAGCAGAGATTTAAGCAAATCACATTCATATTAAATGATTGCAAGTTTTACATCTTGCTATGTAATTTTGCTTCTCCAAGTGCACAAGGAAAGTTTTCCTCCACTTTCAAAGGCTGCACAGTGAAGCAAGCCAGATGGGAACAGCTCAGATCCACCCCCACACTTTAACCCTGTCTTTTCCCATCTTTCATATTTTAAGTCAAACTCCATCCTAACAGGGGCTCCTCATTGCCTGAGCTCTGCTATAAAGGAAAAGGAGACAGAGAAATCCACCACCTCTCTGCACACCTGCTTTAGCACCCTACCCTGAGTTATTTTTTCCTGATCCCACACCTGCTTTCATGGAAAAGACACATTAATGACAAAAAATACCTTTCAGTCCAGGAAAAGAAGCGGAGTCCTCAAACAGGTGCTCTTTGCAGGAAAAGAAAAGAATAAAGCCGCTGTGCTTGGCTCCTGGAAGTGCCACTGACCACCTAGGACTTTTGAATGTGAGGTACCTGCGCCCTCAGAGAGGCGTGCTGGCAGCAGAGCCGGTTCCCAGGCATGAGCTGCTCCGTGCAGCAGCAGCAGCAGTTGCTGCTGTTCCAGCTCCCACCACTTCGCCTTTTCTCTCTCAGGCTCCCTCTGCCTCCCTCTCGCTCTGCCAGGGCTCCAGCAGCACTCTGCACTGATGCACACGTTCTCCACTGTCTCTGTCCCCGCAGCTCGGAGGCTCACATGACTTCTTTCTAAACACCGAGATGCGGATAAATTAAAAGAAAAGCAAGAAATAAGTTCTGTTATGAATGAATGCTTATTATAATACACTTTTCCAAGTTGTCTTTCCTCAATTCCCCTGCACTCCCAGGCCTCAAGAAATAATCCTCTTTACCTTATTGAATCCCACAGGATTTCAGACTATTAGACATTGAATAAAAGAGGAATTTTAAGTTTAGATGCCTTGCCTGGTCCATCAGCTCTCTCATGTCTCAACTCCACAACTGTGTGTCCAAAACATTTCTCATTGTGTCCCTGTTCCTTTACACCTGCAACTCCAAAGTCAGAAGCTGGCAGCTAAAGAAAAAGGCAGCACCTTAATTACTGTACATTTTTTTCTAGCTGTCCCACACCATGTGAGAAGCCCAGAATTCCCAGTAGCACTCCATTCTCCCAGCTGCAGCCAGAAACAGGGATGTGGTGTGTACAGAATCACATCCCTCAGAGCTTATCCCTCATATACTCCCTCAAGCAGGAGTTGGCAAGGCACCAATGTGTGTTCAAGTATCCTTTAACTTGCACACAGACCTTGAAATCCCCACCAGAACTCTTTCTAAATGGCAAACTGGGAGTGAAAAGGCAGGACCCCGAGCTATTCCTACTCCTTCAGAACAGGCTGGGATCAGCCAGACTGGCTGCCTCTCAAATGTGCAGCAAGAAAACCAGACTCTGGAGAAAGAGAGAGGCTGTGGGTTTCCTTCAGGCTTTTCCAATCTTGAAATTTTACTTCATGTTCCTCTTGTTGAATGTCTGTGATATGACTGAGTTTTCTATTCTAAACCACTTTTTTTCTAAACCTATAATCAAGAGACTGAATTATGTCAACTCTGAGTGAGAAGTCATGTAGGAGGCTTAAAAGATACAGAATCCCCTCTCTTAGAATAAAAGGCTTGTTCAAATGTGATAATGGCTTTAACTGTGGTCACTTTTCTCCAGAACTTCAGTAATTGCTCATGATCATGTGTATAGAGCTGTCTAAAATTTTCACATTTAATGATGATGCATAAAAATGCAAAATAACAGATGTGTGACAGAAATGTCCTTGAGATGGGGACTCAAACCTGAGAAGTAATCATTTCTTTGAGGATGAAGTAGATCCTAACATAAAATATACTCCAACTCTGTTTTTATCCTCTGCAATCCATAGTCTCCTTCCCATGTAATGAAGGGAAATACTGTTGCTTCTTCTCATAAATAGTTTTACTGGCAATTTTCAACTTCTTATTAGCATCTTCCCCAGAATTTTCTACATTCTGCAATTAAAATATACAGGAAAAATTTAAGATAGCAATGTTTCAGCACTCGTTGATAATTTAACTCTTATGATAAATCATTTTGTCACTCTGAAACTGCTACAGGTAGACCCAGAGCTTCCACAGGAGAAAGAAAATCTCTTATTGCTCTGAGTAAGTCTACAGCACAGATGATACATAAAGGGTAAGATAAATAGCATACTCACAGCTTCTTCAAACACTAATGGTTAGACAGTAAGCTGCTCATTCTCTAGCTAAATTTTTGCTGAAACTCTCCATGGATTTTTGAGTTAGCGCAAAAAAAGGTGTGCTCAAAGTTGTAGTCTCTGGCCCTTCATGGAATTTGCACTGTAGCTACATGGGACTGGAATGAGGTGAAGTTTGACCACAACACTGCAAATTACAGGTTGAGCCAGAGGCAATGTTTAAGTTGCCTGATGCTTTCTGTTTATGTGTGTTCCAGCTTTGGCACTTGGTTGCTGTAGGACTTGGTGATGCAGTAGAAAGAAAGTACTTGGCTAAGAGAAATGGGATGTCTTCTGAAAGTCAAATCAAAATCATATGCACTGTTAAAAAAAAATAATATTTTCCTTTCTTGCATTGGCTTTGCTAATGAAAACATGAATATCAGGATTATCAGCAGCAACTGATCTCACTGCAGGTACCAGAAACAAACACCATGATATCGAAAGAAAAGCTAAAGCAGAGGGAAAACCAGTGTGCATCACCATCTTCCTCTCCTTCAATACCTAACTGCACAGTGCCTCTGCACCCTTCCCAACAGTCCTGTGCAAAGGAGCAGGAGTGTCCTGGAGTCTTGAGGGCAGAGGAAGGCAGGTGACCTAATCCAGACTGCCCATACACCAATGTCAGAAACCCCTGCTCCCTCTAAGGGCTTACATCAGAGGAAGGCCTTGCTTTCAAAGGAAAGAAAGGAAATACTCAGAGAAGAAAGACAGCATAAAAAAACCATTGTCTCACCACTCAGCTGCCAGTTTCCTCCAGGAATGTTCTTACAAATATGTGGCTTGCATGCCCCCCAACTTTTTTCTGTAATACTTTAGAACCAATAAGTGTTCACCGCACTGAACTTTGGGAAGCACAACAGAAACCACTTGGACTTTTTAAATTAAGAATACAAAACTATATATCAAATTCCATAATTATAGAAAGTTGTTTAAGTTGTAAACGCCAGCCCTCAAAAGTGAAAAAAAATATCACGTTCAGCTGCCTGATACCTAAGAACTACAACATGTGCATTTACACAATTTTTTATTTTCCCCAGGTTCTCTGCCTCAATCAAAAATCAGCTACACAATATAAGTGGAAGGGCAAACATAAACCGGGAATTTTGTATCTGTAAAGTGTTTTCTTTTGCAATCCTAGTGAAATTCTTTGAATGAATAAGAAATGGGGGGAGGGAAATATATGATATTTAGCAATAGCAGGTAGGAATTCCTTCAGCACTGTGTTTTTTCTTACCACAAGTTAAAGAGCTGCCCCCACCAGCACAGTGTTTTAAAACCTTAAAGATGTGGTGGTACATTAATTCAGCCCTGACTCAGAGGTAAGAATGAACAGCTTTGAATCACTGGCACGACTGTGCAGCACCATGCCATCTGCTCACTGTGCTGCAGCACAGACCCAGCTCCATCACCTCAGCACACTCAGGCTTTGAGTGAAAGCTGTTCAGTTCCTGACACTGTTTTCTAGAAAACCATCACACTTTATGAGTTTCAGTCAAATGCAGGATAGGACAGGCCTTGAGGTTCAGCCATGAGCTGTAACACTGGACACTTTGGAACAGGATCATTTCCAGAGATCACCTGTTCTAGAGGCTGAAGAACACATGAGTTAAGCAGAGCACACTATCAAGATGCTTTTTCAGCTAATATTTGTTTTGACTATGTGACTGACCAAAGCTACAGTGATAGTGAACCTGTATAAAGGTAGGAGATGCTGGAAACACTTTCTGGTGGCTCCAGTTGCCAAGGAAACAAAATTCTCTTGTCTCTCTGCATCCAGAAATGTTAGCTCTCTGTGTGAACACAGCTCTCAGGAAATGGTGTGTTTTATGCTCTTCAAAAGTCCTGCAAGGGGGAAAAGAGAGATGAGAAAGTATATCCAATGTTACTCAAACAGCTTTTGTACACATATTTTGCTCACAGCAGACTAAATATTTAGCATAAGACTAATGCTATGCTTTTACTTGTCAATAACAGAAGTTCATGTTACATATTGAAAAAAATTACTGGTACAGACCTCCATTGTGACCTTCAGAAACCAACCCAATAAAGTCCTGAGCACTGGGATAGCTTCTGTCCCAAGACATGTCCTCCTCCACAGAAAAGTCCCTGGGTAGTTATGAGGAGACCAGCCACCCTCAAACTGCTGCAGGGAGAGTCTGGGGCAGGCATTGAAAGGTTTCTGACCCTAGGACTTTAAAAATGAGGGGAGTTAAACAGACAAGAGCTAACTGGCACTGAGGAGCTCAGTGGCTGGGATTAAGGAGTTCAGAGGATCCCAGCAGGAGCTGGGAGCAAGGCCATCTGCCTTGCTCTTCTATCTATCACCCTGCTGACACCTCTGCTGCCTCCCCCCAGCTGCACTTCTGTCCACAGCTGGCCATGGCACACGTGCCAGGACCCTGGAGCAAAGGCAGAATTGCCAAAACAGGTCACCACTTTGTCATCTTCCCTGCATTTCATCTCATCAAGATCCTCAGCTGGAAGTTTTATAACCTTCTCACTTTTCTGGAGCAGGCTAGAGCTGTGACTCCAAAGGAAACAATAGAATACTTAAAGGAGATAAATGTGAGCTACAGAGCATCTTTTAAGACTTCTCTTTAAAAGAGAAAACTGTGGTATTCTTCAGATGTCTGTATGAGGATACAGATATCTGATCTACAGACCAGCTCATCTGATACAGAAGTTAACAAACAAACAAACAAAAAAAAAACCTCGACTAAACGAAAACAAAAAATCACACAAACCAACCAAACAAAAATAAACAATGACAGAGTAAAACAATTAAGTCTCTTTAATTATTATTTACAAAACACTTCTGTGGGCATTATCAGTTAATCATGTTTCACGGCAAGTTGGCTTCCCAGCACGTGGAAGCACAGCTCTGCTGGTAAGTGGTTACACTGCTCTGGTGAGGGAATGGGGAACTGCCACCTGACTGTGGTTCTGAGGCAGCAGATGATTATCATGCCATTCAAATGTTTTATGGGAATAAATAAAAGCCACTTTAAGATTAGCCTGGTCGCTTCTTTTTAAGATGATCCCAGTGGATTGTGTGGGATAAGTACTGACTTTTCCCCAAAGAGCTCAAGATCCTGCAGAGTCTTCTCTTTACCTTTTTAACAAGAAAAGGATGATTCATTTCCAGAAAGGGTAAAAACTCTGTCGATTATATGCCAATGATACCTAAATCTTAATCTTCTTTGCTCCATACTTAGAATTCTTTGTTGACTTATTCTAGTGCCTGGCAAAAGTAAGAGTGAAAAATGAAGTAGCTGAAACTAGAGAAAAATGAATTTTTCATACAGCCCCTAAACCTTGCCCCTCCCACCTCCTCTGCCTCCTTCATTCATACATAATTAATGACTTAAAGACAAGTTTTGTGATGAAAGAGGGGTGAATTTAGCTCTCTGAATGAGGGTTGTGCCTGCACTGGCTGACTGAACTGTTCTCTGCTGACTCTGGGACAGAGTGGCTGCTGACTCCCAGAAGGAGTGGAGAAGGCTAAACCCTGATTAGTCCTTCCCCCTTCCCTTTTGCAGCTAATCAAGTCCTATTAGTCACTCACTGAATACTGTAGAGAACCTGGAGCTGCAGAATAGTGCAGTCATAGAGATGCTAAGGGTGAGGAGTATCAAGTAAACCAAGGTGTGGATGCCACAGTTTTCCTCAGTGCAGGAGGAGTGACTTTACTTAAATGTGTAACCAGTAAAGCTCATAAAACAAACCCTCAATTACTTGAAGTTATTTGGGTTTATTTAAGTCACACTGAGCAAAGGGCTAAAAACCGGCAAGCTCTAACTCAAGGGTCAGGGTGAAGCCCAAAATTTGTCCAAATGCCCAGAAAGCCCATTTAGCCAGAGCTCTCCCAGAAAG